CATCATCATCATCATCATCTTCATCATCATCATCATCATCACCATCACCATCATCATCATCATCATCATCATCATCATCATAATGATAATAATTATTGCCTATACCCGGTAGTGCATACCCACGCTCTACAGCAAGCCCAACCTAATAGCGCCAATGGTGTAGATGTTAGGCTTTTCTCCAAGCACGTACATGTAGAAGACATCAGTTCAATTCCTGAGTGGGAAAGCTTTTTATCGTGTATCTTCGTCTGTCAGCAGGGAGCTAGGAAATTAGGAATATCATTCTATTTAGCTTGGATTGGCCCTGACCCTCAGTATGTTGAAGCAGCCTGTTTGTTTCGCAATGCAGACAAAAAACGTGAAAGTTCAAGTGGGGTCTGAATTTCTGTCCTCCCTTCGAAACACTTACCTTCACAAATTTCTACCGGCGTCTATAGTGTATCCATTCGCTGTCGCACGCTGGAGACCCAAATTCAAGCCCCATGTGGGGAAAATTGCTATCGAGTATTTCGGTCTTTCTGCTGGGATGGTGGTCCAATAAAAAAGTGGTGTATGCCATTTATCGATTCAACTTTGATGTTAGTTCCTGAGTCAACACATTGGTCATGTTATGACCCTGATGCCCTCAACAAGTCGTTACCGTCTCTGGATGATTTCCCAAAGCGGGCCAATTCGAAGTGGCAAATTATGACACCCTACCAGGTGCGCACAAGTGCAATCACCCAAGTGTTTAAAACCAATGAGATATCCAACTATGGAATCAAGTCGGTTAATAATAACCCATGGGTTGACGCAGGAACTAACATCAAAGTCGCATCTATGAATGGTATACAGCACTATTTTATTGGAGCAACACATGACGCAGGCGCAGAGCCTAAGTACAAGATTATAGTGGATCGTACAGTGGTGGTGCTGTTTCGGGGTCTCCGCCAGGGCTCTCAGTCTCAGTATAGAGTGTGATGTCTCTGATGTCCCCAGCGGTCCTTGGAGAGTTTATCTGTATCTAGATGTTCGTTCATCATGAGTATCATATATTGTGTGGCGCAGGCCCAAGTTTGATCTTGGACTCAGATTTTGAACTGAATACTCTCCTGTTTTTTAGGTTCTCTATGCAGCTGTAATTATTCTTCTCTTGTTGCTCCCTCGTTAGGTCAAAGATTAGGATTCTCTGCCCTCTGTGGGCCTCGTGGATGTCAGATGATTTACCATTTGTAGGTGCGAAGGCGCCTTTGAAGACCACACAGTAGTCAGTTATGAAAGTCTTGCCTTGGTTACTCTCGCGGTTAACGTAGACTACGACCTTGCGTTTGTCTGGTTCTTGTTCAACTTAATCAATTAAAGCTTTTTACCATGCCTTCCACATAACGTGTTCAATTTGTTTCTTTCTAGTGTCTAGAGCAGTTTTTGAATCTCATATTGTCAACAATTTTAGTAATAGCCCGGTTGTAAAGTACCACTGATTCGTAGTCGTCGCCATCGAGTTCACAGTCAGGGTTCTCAGCTAGTCTTTTCACAAGGTCGACAGCTCGAGTTCTCACTTTAGGTGCGGTAACCTTAGCAGTAGGCTTATCTACTTCATTCTAATAATAATATGACATTACCTTCCATAGAACAATAGGTTTGATTCTCGGCGTCGTTCCCATTCGCGGGTTCGATATGTGCCTTCGAGGAGATATAATATATATATACATAATATGAGAGAGAGAGAGAGATAGAGAGAGACAGAGACCTAGAGACAGAGAACTAGAGAGAGAGAGAGATAGAGAGAGAGAGAGAGAGAGAGAGAGAGAGA